TTCAGGGAACAGGAGACATGTGTGGACTCTGACTTTCCCTGGTGCCCAGCACCTAATTGTATTCCTTAAATAGTGGTTCCCTCTCCCCTCCTTTTCTCCCTCCCTCCTTTCTCTTCTACTTTACACTGTGAAATCTATGAGTTGCAGTTTAAGCCTTACACTATTCTGGAGAGGAGAGAAACTTGGTAAGAAAATAAAATGTTGGAAAAATTTAAAGAAAACACCCCCGGAACGACATCCCCCACCCCACCAAGGGAGGGGGGTCCTAGATTGAACTGTAATTCCTTGGTTGATGTGATCCTTTGTGGTGTTCGTGAGGATTTTAGGACATCATGAGATTAATAATAGAAACCTTTTTTTCACTGTCTTCTACTTGGCCGGAGCCTGTTTATTTTGTATGACTAATTCACATCCATAAGAAAACGATTACTCAGCTGGCATTCCCACCTGTGTTTATCTTTCAGCAGCCAGGATTTGTTAAACCCTGGGCAATTTTAATTGCTGTGAAGTGTCTTCCCTGCAGGTGCGTTTCCCTTGCTTCTTTCTCTCTTTGACATTTCCAAATGAAAATAGTCTTTCTGTGTAGAAGAGCGTGTTCCTTGGATCTGGTATGTCTGTCTGCCTCCTGCCCTGAACACACATTTAACTGACCCATCACTGCGTGCTGCTGAGTCAGAAGGCAGAGCAGCGCTCCGTTGAACACCATCAACAGTTTTTGTCCGGAGGGCGGCTCGTAGTTGTCGACAGCCTTTTGTGTGCCTGGCACCCGATGGACCTGTTCTCCTTTCGTCATTACAGTTTTACGAAGTTGGCACTGATAACTCCATCTTACTGGGTGAAGATGTAGAGAATCGTGTTCAAAAAGCATGGCTGAGTTCACAATGTTAACAGTGGAGCTGAATTTGGACCAGGTGCATTTGATCTACAGCCTTGGTGCTCTCCGGGGAGCAAAGATTATTCAGAGAGGCCATCCGTCCCTGGTGTTTAGGCATGTAGGTTTTGGAACCAATTTAAACTGGGTTTGAATCTTGGCTCCATGATAAACTCTGAGATTTGGGTAAGTTGCTTAACCTGTCTTGGGGAAATGAAGTTTCCTCACCTGTGAAATGGAGATGTCTTAGTCTGTTCAGGCTGCTATAAGAAAAATACCGTAGACTGGGTGGCTTATAAACAACAGAAATTTATTGCTCACAGTTCTGGAGGCTGCGTCGTCCAAGATCAAGGTGCCACTCGATTTGGTGTCTGGCAAGGGCCTGCTGTCTGGTTCATAAACGGAGTTCTCTTGCAGGGCCCTCACTTGGTGGAAGGGGCAAACAAGCTCCCTCAGGCACTAATTGCATTGATGAGGGCTGTGCCTCCCAGATGCCCTACCTCCTAATACCACAGTGGGGATTAGGTTCCAACATGTACATTCTGGGAGAACATTCAGATCATAGCAGGAGGTGACCCTTACCTCATAGGGTTACTGAGCCATTCACATAGAGCATTTAGCAGTGCCTTGCCAGGCTCAGAGTGAAATAGGATAGCTGCTCTCAGCTCATGACAGCGTTTATGTAAATGAACTGACTTCCTAGGTCAGAGAGCCAGGTCGAGGGGCTGGATGACAGGAGGGTAGTAGAAGTGGTGGGAAGTGCATTGGGAGGAAGCCTGAAGAAACTAGGAGAGGGCCTAGGGGTGCACCTGCTTCCCTTCTAGTAGGAGTCCTTCCTGCAAGTGGATGGAGGGCAGCATATTGTGTATTTTTTTCTTTTTCTTTCTTTCTTTCTTTCTTTTCTTTTCTTTTCTCTTTTTTTGTTGATGGCGTCTCCCTCTGTCACCCAGGCTGGAGTACAGTGGCTCAATCTTGGTTCACTACAACCTCTGCCTCCTGGGTTCAAGCGATTCTCACGCCTCAGTTCCCCGAGTAGCTGGGACTACAGTTGTGCGCCACCCCATTCAGCTAATTTTTTGTATTTTTAGTGAAACGGGATCTCCCCGTGTTGCCTAGGCTGGTCTCGAACTCCTGAACACAGGCAATCCACCCACCTTGGCCTCCTAAAGTGCTAGGATTACAGGCGTGAGCCACTCCCAGCCTATACTGTATATTTTAAGTTTGAGAAGATGAGATTTGAGGAGAAGTGTATGGCTGATGGGTGGGTACAAAATAGAAAGCCTAGCCCAGGAAAACAATGATGGGAGTGAAGCCGAAGATGCTCAGGAAAAGGGAGTGTGGGCGGCAGGAGGGGGATGGATGAGGAGCATTTTCTGGGTACAGTCAGGTGAGAATAGATGGGTTGAATTCAGAGGGTCCAAGAGAATCGGGAAAGAGGCCTGATGCAACAAACACGGGCCTGGAGAGCGCTGCCTCAGAGCGGGCCACCCGCCACCCCTGAAAGGCGGCTGCATGTTCGTCAGGGGCACCATCCACAGGATCCACACATTTGTTGCCAGAGATTAAGAGAGAAGTTTAAATACTTGAATTTTGGCTGAGATGGCTTTTCCTTCTTTTCTTTAACCAAGGTCTTAGACTCCTGAAATGTTGGGGAAAAGGTTGACAGGGAAAACGTCTACCTTCGTCCTGCTGCTTTTCATCTCTATATTTTTCTCTTTCGTGGTGGAGGTGGGCAGTAAATAAAAGGCATTTCATTTCAGGGGTAACCTGGGCAGGTTTTGGAAAATGTAGTCAGATTGCAAAATCATCCTATGTTTTCATAAAGTAAGCCCTGTAATATCCAGTCCTTTATTTATTTTTTTATTTAGAGAGAGGGTTTCACTCTGTCACCCAGGCTGGAGTGAAGGGGCATGATCACAGCTCACTGCAGCCTTGACCTCCTGGACTCATGCCATCTTCCCAGCTCAGCCTCCCAAGTAGCTGGGACTACAGGTGTGCACCATCATGCCTGGCTAATTTTTGTATTTTTTGTAGAGACAGAGTCTTGCTGTGTTGCCCAGGCTGGCCTCAAACTCCTGGACCAAGTGATCCTCCCCCTTTGGCCTCCCCAAATATTGGAATTACAAGCATGAGCCACTGTGCCTGGCCTGTAATAGTCATTTCTAAGTAATTCTAATCATAACAAAGGGCGCTTTGATTAAACAAATATTTTATTAAGTCATCTCCATGAGTCAGACAGGTTGCTGGTTGATTCTGCAGTAATTGGTAAAATTCATCAGTAATTCTCTTCAAGAGTCATTCCGGCTCTGTTCATTCATTTTATTTTGGGAGGGGGTCCTCATGAAATTAGTCACTGTATAGGCCTCAACCTAGGCATTCTTTCATTGTTGCTGTGGAAACCAGCAATAAAAATCGTGGGTTGAAGAAGAAAAATAACTGGTGCCGAACATCTGTAAAATACACAAGAATTAAATTGCTTTTCGTAATCCAGAATTTTAAAAAATCATGATACTTGGAACAAAGCTGAGACTCATAAGGTTCTGAACTAATTATGTAACTGAATCATTAATAGTTTTCCTTGGAAACACTATGGAAAACAAATTACACCGCCTTTAAAGGAGTGTTTCCACCGGTAGCAGCATTCACAGAGCTGCTGCCGTCAGCGCTGCAGTGTGAGCTCGGTCAGGTGCATGCCTGGACACACGCCACCAGCTGGTCACTGTTGCAATAGGGTTGGGAACTAGATGGCCTCGCAGAGAGACATTGTCAGGAGAAACGACGTCGCAGGCTGAGCAGGATGCTGCCTGTGGTTCTTCTCGTGGCTGGCTAACGGGTGGTGAGGGGAGAGGCAGCCAGGGATACTAGCACTGGCCACCATCCCCCGGGGGCAGTTAATGAGACCCCGCCTCCTACCCTGTGCCCTGTGAGAGTGGCCATTGGAAGTGGTTGTCACTTGTGGGTGTTTTGTAAAGTGCATTTCTGATGTTCTTTGGTGCCCTGTGTCACACCCTGAGTCCGTGGGGACAGGCGGAGTCAGGGTTGGGGCTGGAAGAGAGCCGAGAGGGTGTTTAATCCAGACCTGTTATGTTATTGACGGAAGAAGCAGAGCCTCTGAGAGGGTGAGGGATGGGCCGGGCCTCTCCTTGCTAAGGAATCACAGCGCCGGTCCCTGCTGGCCAGTCTCGGGCCGTCTTCCACATCTCTGTGTGGATTTTCCCCTCATGTCTTCAGCTGCATCTTGCTGGTTTGGACAATTTTCCTTTCCTAAAATATTGCAGTTAGGGCAGTCACTCTGCCCTACAGGGTTGGGTCTGACCAATTAAAATGTACTTCATTCATTTTTATATGAAACTCATTTTTATTTATTTATTTATTTATTTATTTATTTATTTATTTTTGAGACGGAGTCTCGCTCTGTCGCCCAGGCTGGAGTGCAGTGGCCGGATCTCAGCTCACTGCAAGCTCCGCCTCCTGGGTTCACGCCATTCTCCTGCCTCAGCCTCCCGAGTAGCTGGGACTACAGGCGCCCGCCACCTCGCCCGGCTAGTTTTTTGTATTTTTTTAGTAGAGACGGGGTTTCACCATGTTAGCCAGGATGGTCTCGATCTCCCGACCTCGTGATCCGCCCGTCTCGGCCTCCCAAGAAACTCATTTTTATATGAAAAAAGTCATTTTGTGCTTCTGTGAATTCTTTCAAGTAATTCATTTATGTTTATTTTAAAAGTAAGTAAATTGTTCCTTTGTCAACCCTAAAGCCACAAAGCTTATGGGCTTTTTATGTGTTGACTCTGGCTAACCTGTTTTATCTGGGTGTGAGATACAGACACATAGCGTATGGATGGGTATTTGGTGGAATGCTGTGTCAGGTCATTCTGCTGAAAAGCGATGTCAGGACATCAGTAATGTGGCTAAGTTTCAGTAGTTTGGTAAAAGCTGTTGTGGAGTTGTAAAAATTAGCCTAGTATAAAGCCTATAAACCCATCTTAGGAATATTCTATTTCCAGCCAAATCATAGGCGCTCCTACTCTATGATAGTCCGCGGTGACGTGGTGTGTGGGGTAAAGTGTGATGATGTCATGACGCTGGTTCAAGTGATGGAGACATGCTTTGCTTTTCTGCTGTTTTGCAGGACAGACCCGCGAAGACAAACATGCGGAGTGCAGCCAAGCCCTGGAGCCCAGCCATCAGAGCAGGAGGCCACGGCCCAGACCGGGCACGGCCTCTGCCTGCAGCCCCTTCCGGCATGAAGAGTTCTAAGTCTTCAACTTCCTTGGCTTTTGAGTCCCGACTCAGCAGGGTATGGACCAAAATGCACGGGGCCGGGCAGGGCGCCTGGATACCCTGGGTTGGGAGGATTGAAGAGGGCAGTAGGCAGACCAGTGGCCTCTGGGGGCAGGGAAGGAGGTTCCCAAGGAGGGGTCGCAGGAGGACCAGCATGCCTGGACATGAAGGAGTGGAGCTAGCGTGGGAGTGGGGGCCCCCCAGGGTCCAGAAAGGAGGTCTGCAAAATGTTTAACACAGTAATTAAGGTCCTCTGCCCTGGGTTGCATGGACATCCCGGCAGTTTTGCCCCCAGCACCACCCTGGATGGGGGTCGAGGTCATGCACGATCTTTGCAGCCCCCCACAATCCAGTTGTGGTTCTTCAAGCCCCTCTTGCTGGACCCCGCAGCAGCATGGACACTGTTGATTACGCCCTTCATCAGGGAGTGCGTTCTCCTCTGGTTTTCTCCTCCCTCCATCCCTTTGGTCTTTAAGGTTGGGTGGGCCCATGACACATTCCTGCACTCATCTCTTTTCTAGCTGCATTCATTTCTTTACATGAGAGGCTCTCACTGTGCAACACCTAGCGCCTCCTTAGCTGCCCTGAGATGATTTCATAGACAGGAGCACCTACCTCGTGCAATGCTTTAGAAAAATCATTACGATCTTCTAATTCGAAAGGGAGGTATTAAATAGCATGCATTTCCATCTGCAATGCCTGAGCACAGCTGTGCTGAAGGCCTTGCGATGATCCTTAAAGCACCATGGGCATGACAGCTACAATGCAGATGGATTTGAGCTGCAGACTGATTTGAGTCGTGTTGATGACTCAACTACGGTGAAGGCTGCTGCAGGAGTGACGGGATTGTTTTGAAATAGCAGACACTCTTGGTGAAGTTCTGAACCAAACATCGTGCCAGCTCCCTTTGTTTTATGTATTCTTGGAAAGTTCAGGGTACCTTAGAGCTAGGCAAGGGGCACATTGTTTTTATGAGTCAAATGGAGGGAGGCTCTAGGCTCAGATAATAATAAAAGGTGTTCCACCTGCGTCAGTGCCTGTGGATTCAGTGAAACGTGTGTGGGTCGTGGAGCTGTTCTTTGTGTAAGATTGTCATGAGCATTTTAGGACTAACACATCCAGTCATGGTGACAATAAAAAATGTGCCCTCAGATTTTCAACACATCCCCTGAGGGACAGCACTGTCCCCATCGAGAACCATTGTTCCAGGTGACAGGGTCCATTCTCATGGCTTTTAACACTCTACATGGATAATGTCCAAATTTGCATCTCCAGCTGGGACCCCTCTAACTGCCTTTGTGACATCACCCTTGGATGTCCAAACACTCCCTCCAATGTAACATGTCCAAAACTGAATCTCAGTGCTTTCCTCTCCATCTCTCTCACCACCCGCTAACCTGCTCCCCCTCAATCTTACTGTTTGTGTAAACAGCAACTCCGTCTTTTCAGTTGCCCAGGCCACAGCCAGTGGCATCACCCTTAAACCCTCCTTTTCTCATGTCTCACAGTCCATCAGTGAAAGGCCATCACTTCTACCTTAAAAATATGTGTCAACTCCAGCCAATTCCCACCGCCTCCCTTGTGACTAGTTGGGTCATGCCCCCACCCTTCTGTGCCCTGGTCCCGGTCCTTGGAACACCTGAGTCATGTCACTTCTCTGCTTCAACCCTCTAGTGACTCTCCCCATTCACTCAGAGTGAAAAGCAAAGTCCTTGAAATGGCCAGCGTCCCCTCCCTCTCAGATGTGGTCTCGTTCCTCTGTGCCCTGGCTCCTGGAGCTCCAGCCACACAGTCTGCTGGTGTCTGGTGACAGCTGTCCCTCGAATTGCCAGGTGCACTCCTGCGCTAGTGTGTTTGTGTTTGCTTCTCCCTCTGCCTGGAAAGCACCTGGTGCCTCTGTAGGAAGTGCCCTTGACCTCCATCCTCCTCCTCCTGCTGCCTTGTTTTCCTTCTCAGCTCTTGGTGCCATTGCACCCATCTGCTTGTTTAGGGTCTGTCTTCTCATGGCTGGAAAGTAAGCCCCCTTGGGGAAGGGACTGTATGCTTTCTTTGTTGTCCTCATTTCTGTCCCCAGTGCTTAGAAGAGCATCTGCTACCTGGTAGGCACTCAGTATTTATTGAACGATGAACACACCTGTTTTCTGGCGGTCTGATGGAACAGGAGGAGCTTGGGGGTGTGGGGCTGGCCTGAGCTGGAATCCTGGCTCTGCCACTTCCCCACTGTGAAGCTGCAGGCAAGCTGTGTAGTTGCCCTGAGCTTGTGCTTCCTTGTCTTTCAGATGAAGGTAACACCTTCTTTGCCACAAGGAGTAAATGTGGGTAAAGCATCCTATGTGTAATTTTGTTTATTATTCTATTATCCTGGATTCAACCATCATTTCCATTAGTTTTGTTTTTATTATCTTCAACCCAACAGCACATTTTAAACTTAGATTTTTATGTTTATTACTATTTTTTCTATATCCAATAAGCAATATATAAACTTAGATTTTTTTTTTTTTTTTTTTTTTTGAGACGGAGTCTTGCTGTGTCACCCAGGCTGGAGTGCAATGGCCAGATCTCGGCTCACTGCAAGCTCCGCCTCCCGGGTTCACGCCATTCTCCTGCCTCAGCCTCCTGAGTAGCTGGGACTACAGGCACTCGCCACCTCGCCCGGCTAGTTTTTTTTGTATTTTTTAGTAGAGACGGGGTTTCACCGTGTTACCCAGGATGGTCTCGATCTCCTGACCTCGTGATCCGCCCGTCTCGGCCTCCCAAAGTGCTGGGATTACAGGCTTGAGCCACCGCGCCCGGCCATAAACTTAGATTTTTAAATGAATACATACATTCCACAATAACAGACCATTACAGCTGCTGGAATATGGAATTTTCTTTTTTTGAGACAGAGTCTCACTCTGTCGCCCAGGCTGGAGTGCAGTGGCACGATCTTGGCTCCCTGCAAGTTCTGCCTCCCGGGTTCACGCCATTCTCCTGCCTCAGCCTCCCCAGTAGCTGGGACTACAGGCACCCACCACCACGCTCAGCTAATTTTTTGTATTTTCGGTAGAGATGGGGTTTCACCGTGTTAGCTAGGATGGTCTCGATTTCCTGACCTCATGATCCGCCCGCCTTGGCCTTCCAAAGTGCTGGGATTACAGGCGTGAGCCACCACGCCTGGCTGGAAATATTTTTAAAAGCAGTGCTTAAAATAAGGCCTCGGCTGGGCAGGGTGGCTCATGCCACTTTGGGAGGCTGAGGTGGGCGGATCACCTGAGGTCAGGAGTTCAAGACCAGCCTGACCAACATGGTGAAATCCTATCTCTACTAAAAAAAAAAACAAAAAAATTAGCCTTAGCCGGGCATGGTGGCATATACCTGTAGTCCCAGCTACTTGGGAATCTGAGACAGGAGGATCGCTTGAATCCAGGAGGCAGAGGTTGCAGTGAACCAAGATCACATCACTGCACTCCCGCCTGGGTGACAGAGTGAGACTCTATCTCAAAAAAAAAAAAAAAAAAATATATATATATATATATATATAAATGTATATGTAAAGGCTGGAAGCGTAGGAATGTTTTTTTTTTTTTTTTTTTAATTTAAAAATACTTTATTGCTAAAAAATGCTAAGGATCATTTGAGCTTTCAGTGAGTTGTAATCTTTTCCCTAGTAGAGGGTCTTGCCTTGATGTTGAAGGCCACTGATTGATCAGCGTGGTGGTTGTTGAAGGTTGGGGTGGCTGTGGAAATTTCTTAAAATATGACAACAGTGAAGTTGGCTGCATCAACTGACTCTTCCTTTCACAAAAGATTTCTCTGTATCATGTGATGCTGTTGGATAATATTTCACCCACAGTAGAGCTTGTTTCAAAATTGGAGTCAACAGGTCTGTAATCCCAGCACTTTAAGAGGCCAAGGCAGGTGGAACACCTGAGGCTGGGAGTTTAAGACCAGCCTGGCCAACATGATGAAACCCCATCTCCACCAAAAATACAAAAATCAGCCAGGCATGGTAGCATGTGCCTGCAATCCCAGCCACTCGGGAGGCTGAGGCAGGAGAACCGCCTGAACCCATGAGGCAGAGGTTGCAGTGGGCCGAGACTGCACCACTGCATTCCAGTCTGGGTGACAGAGCGAGACTGTCTCAAAAAAAAAAAAAAAGGAGTCAATCCTCTCGAACTTTACTTCTAATTTAATAAATTTATGTGGTATTTTAAAATCCTTTGTTATTTTAACAATGGTCAACATCTTCACCAGGAGTAGACTCCATCTCTAGAAACCACCTTTCTTTGCTCGTCCACAAGAAGCAGTTCCTCATCCGTTCAAGTTCTATGAGATTGCAGCAATTCAGTCAAGCGTAGGAGTGTTTCTAAAGGACAATGAATGAGATTCTGGCCACTTCTCCCATCAATAGGTTCATGTTTTGGAAACTTGTTCCACAGGGAAAATGTCAGGGAAAAGCAAATACAGTCATTCCTTGGTATCCTTGGGGGATTGGTTCCAGGACCCACTGTGGATACCAAAATCCATGGATGCTCAAGTCCCTGATATAAAGGGTATTTGCATATAACCTACACTCATCCTCCCGTATACTTTAAGTCATTTCTAGATTATTTATGATACCTCATGCAATGTAACTGCCACGTACACAGTTGTTACACTGTATCGTTTTAAATTGTTTTATTGTTGTATTATTAATTTTTAAAATTAATGTTTTGAAAAACTTTTTCTGCACTTGGTACCATGTGCATATTAGGTGCCTTCTGCTCTCCTTCCCGATTCCTGTCCTCTCCAGGCCTGACTCTGTGCAGGACAATGATAGGGCTTGAGGGAAGGAGCAGCAGAAAGAAATGTAGCCCGCCTGGCCTTTCCAGCCCGGGTTCTGTTCATCTGATTTGACCTTCATCTTTCCACCTATGGTATGGGAAGAAGAAAAAGACTAAACAGGAAGTCAGAGAACAGAAGTGAAAAAGAGGAAATTGTGGTGGACAAAAAAGCAAGTAATTTTCCCTCCCAATATTTTACTATGACAATTTGTAA